GGCGTGAAAGTTGAAGTGCTTGTTGCCGGGGATGAGACCTGTTTCTCTTCAGCGAGTTCTACCGCTTCGACCCGGTGAGGGGCCCTGAGTCACGTAGCCACGCGGCCTTGGTAGTTGTTTTGGGATTTTCCTTTGAGTAGAATGGCAGGATGCTGTGAAAAGGGGACGCCCCCGTGATGAGGTCGACCATCTGTTCTTCTTTTTCTGTTTGCTGTTGGGTTTGAGCACAGTAGCCTCCCTAACTGCTCAGCGCTGACTTGCACGTCATGGGTTTGCACCTTGTTGAAGCTAACAGGGGTCATGCCGTTTTGCCAAACTTGAGTTCCGTACAGAGTTTGCTTCTCCTTTCAATCCGTACCGCAACTTTGTACCATACATTGCGTACTAATCCTGACGGGCCGCCGGAGCCTCCAAGCACCTCTTTCCTTGCCTCCTACATGAGGCCTACTAATTCAGTCAACGCTCTTTTTTCGGTAATTGCCAACCGGCTGAAGTCCAGCCTGCAATCTTTCTCGTTGGCCCCTTGGCACCCGCAACAGTCGGGGGCGCACTAGCGCGCGGTGAAGGGGGAAACCCCATCACGCTAACCCTGGCGACAGAAAGAGGAACGCCGAACCAACATGGTTACAAAACATTAATCAATCTCTGCAGTTTCGGTCTACCACCCATTGCAGTTCTCACTCCCCCTCAAAGGTCCACGAAAAATGCGCGCGAGCTTGAGGCCCGGGAAGCCTAGCTCGTCACTTATGTAAGCTTGGGAGAGCAAGGAAGGGAGAGAGCCCAAAGAGAGAAAGACACAAGGAGAGACAGAGAGAGAGAGAGAGGGAGAGATGTGCTATGCTAATGGTATGTTGTTGTGTTAATCTGGTCCGAAACCATGCAGACATTCAGACTCCCCACTGAAAGTCATGTCATACTGATTGTCGAACCCTGGGAAGGTTAATCCATAAAAAAAACCCTACTTGATCGCCAGGGAGAAACATTCAGCTTTCCACGCTCCTCCAAAAGCCCCGCGAACATCGGGGGGGCCTTCCAGGCCGAGGGGCTTCAGACACCCCTCATGGAAGAAGGAGAGATGTGCGCATGTATACATATATAGTACACACCTATACACTCGTACAGACCGACAAACATGTACAAACTCGCAAATTCTCCCGTATCTTCAGGGCCCGCCGAGTCACTGGTCCGGTCCGCCGTCGCGGGAGGAGCTCGGGCTGGAGAAAATCCGAACATTCTGCACAGCTACAGCAGAATTCTTGGCCTCAGCAACAGACGGCAAGATGCATCATCGCAGTCAACGAAATCCTGCGGTGCAATCCCTGAGATTTTGACGAATTAAGTTGTCATGGCCCCACTGGTCTGTGCGTTGTGTTGAGTGGGGGTGACTTGCATTCTTCAGACAGAATCAAGGCATGAGTAGCCGTGCGTCTGGATTCACTTTTCCTCCGAAGTTGCGCAGCTGCGAGGGAGTTCCATGGCAGCCACCGCAGCCTCTCGGCCGGAAGTGCCTAAAAAAGCTGCGCATGTCGCGTGACGGCGTTGATGTGATGTAATGCTTTGGCCTTCGACTCCTTCGAGTTCAGCCGTTCGGCTTCTCGACACATGCCCAGAAGATCATGAAGATCCCAAATCCCCAGGCCCCCCGCAACGGCTAAGGGGTGTGCCGGCAAACGGCGTGCCTCGCTCACAGGCGGAAACTTGGGGTTGCGAATAGGCCACTGGTGCAGTGTTGCCGCTCCCGTACCGTTATTCTCGGTGGCTTTGTGCCCATCCATCGGGATAGACTTAGAGGATTTCAGAGGTGCAGGGCTGCTTTGGCCTTCGCATCGAAGCAAGAGGTTTCCTGAACTGCTGGACACCGGACCCTTGAGCCGAGACAGTCGCACCGCAAGCCTACGTGCAGAAAGCCGCTCAGATTCGAGCTTCGCATGCGTCTTCGGAAGGTTCGCAGCCAAAGACGACAAGAGCTTGCGTTTTTCCTAAAGAGAAGCAGCCACATGCCGAAGTTTAGCCTTGGATTTTTCAGCATTGACCCCAAACCCCTTGGATCCAGAACTGTTGAACGACCCTTGTCGGATCGTCATGTGATCCGACGAGGTCGGATTTAAAGAGCCTGAATGAAGTCACTTGCGAGCAGGCTCTCGAGGATCTGCAATTGAGCGGTCGGGTTTGGATAGGCATAGTGCGAACCTGTAATTCCAAAGTCTCTCAGCCTGGACCCAACTCTACGACAAAGTTGCAAGTAAGTCCTTTGCAGCAGGCGAGCCGGTCTCGATCACGATCGCCCGGGCGTCGCCGGAAGCGGCGTCGAGGACAGCCACCATCTGAATGGGGCACTCGCTAATATATGTGAGCCTATGTTCCGGTTTTTGCTCCGATCAGAAGGGCTTACTCGCGCCGGCAGCACCATCTGCTTTCAGCTTCTGCCCATGCGCCCAAAGCCTTTAGGAGCTTCGGTCCGCATTTTTCATCATTTTTCAACGATGAGCACATCGTGGTGCTGAGCAGAAAATGCATACATGCCGACCTACCTACCTACCGTTCACACGTACACAAGTACACAGTACACGTACGCACATACTTACTTCCTTGCCTTCAGTCACGCACACACGCATAAACGGATTGATAAGTAGGTACACAGCTAGACAGGGCAGATTCAGATAAAGAAGTAACTGTCAGACTAGAGGGCTCCTCAGGGCAACCTTCCGAAAGCATCTTTCCGAAGGCTCCGAACCACGGAACTCTCCTCGGCAGGAGCCGAGGCAGCTGTCGAAGAATTTGGCAGTTGAAGACTTGAAGACTCATTGATTCATGCCATTGTCATGGGGTCGGGTTGGAGGGTGGAGGCTCTCGTTTGAGTCGGGTGCTCAAGGACTGAAGGGCTCCCATTTTCCAATCAGGCACTGATCATTGCAACAGAAGGAAGCGATCCAGAGAGAAGTCTGACCTTTGCACGAAGGCTTCTGCAAGACTATTCGTATCGCAACCGAGTCAACCTTTCCATGTTCAGTGTCCGGTTGCCCTGTGCAGGCTTGACGCCCCAGCAGGTGGTGCGAGACAGGCCCAACGAGGAGAAAGCAAAAACTGCCTGCCACCATCCGTAGAAGAGGAACCGTACTGGATAGAAGTCACTGCCAAGAGATATTACCAAATCTGTCGGAACGCGCCGCCACACACTGTCATAAAGTCTATTTAACTAAAGATCTCTGCGAGGAGCTTTGAAAACCCTGTCTTGACGTGGCGCCAAAGTGCGCGTGCCGACACGTCCAGGGCAAGAAAACGCCACCACAAGGACAACACCTAGAAGTGTTTCACCACTACGACCACTACTACTACTCCTCCTGCTGCTGCTCTGCTACTGGTATTGCCACTGCTCGTGCTGCTACCACCACCACCACCAACAACAACACCACGACTACTACTACTACTACTCCTCCTCCTCCTACTCCTACTCCTACTCCTACTCCTACTCCTACTACTACTACTACTACTACTACTACTACTACTACTACTACTACTACTACTACTACTACTACTACTACTGCGACTGCGACTGCGACTGCGACTGCGACTACGACTACGACTACTACTACTACTACTACCACCACAAACTACTCTTCCTACTCCTACTATGACTACCACTACCACTGCTACTGCTCTTGCACACACTCCTGTGCTCCTGCCCTGCTGCTTCTGCTGCTTCTGGTGCCGGACAGTGCCCGACAGTTAGGGTCACTGAGAGTGAAATCGGAAGCGACTTTCAATCTGCGAGACAAGCCGGCCGTTCGTTGCGGGCACAACCAATGACTGTCGATAACGCTCAACAGATGGAAAGAGCTCGGGCCAAATCCCCTGGAAGGCTCACGCGGCTTCGACCCTGACACCAGTTACGTCCGGCACGCGCATACCCCAGCGTTCAGCCGCCGGTTGGAGGACCACTTTGTTGCATACACACAACTTGACTACTGGACGAGAAGACTGCATGTATGTATGTATGTGTGTATGTACGTATCTATCTATCTGTATATACATCTATGCGTACATGCATCAGATCCATATCCCTGTGTTGAGTACAGCTCGATGGCGAGACTCTTTCTCAGACGTGTGCACTGAAGCCTCCTCAATTGGCAACACGACAAACACATCTCGTGAGGTCTGCGGCTGCTTCATCAGACTACCTAGGCAGGGCGCCTTTTAAACCACATCTGCAGGTCGTGTTCTGGCTGAGGGCTTGTTTCTTTGTCCGTGGTATATCACTCCACTTCGTGTTGAACTTTCTCGTTTCCTGCAACAAGTTCCGTTTCGGGGCAGGACAGTTGGCAGCAACTCGCGACTTATTGAGCCGCATCTCTTTGTGCTGACTCCTCTGGTGTGGTCTCCATCGTCGCCTTTACACAAGAGGCTTTCTTCGTGTACTTGTTCATGCAGTCGTCCCAGTGGTTCTTTGTCAGTCTGGCTGTCTTGGCTAGACGGATCTCAGAACCTGCCACTGCCAGGAGAGAATCGCCTCAGAATGCGGGCTTTAAGCGGAGAACTTGATGTTTTGGACCTACGTGTTGTAATCGCATGCAACAGGTATGCTGACTGCAGCTGTGTCGCATGCAGTCCCACCCTCAGCTCCAGGCATCAGTGCTAGGTTTGGGGTGCAAAACGTTTGGCTCGTTCCAGAATCCTGGTTTTGCGCGCGTATGCTCATTTGGAGTAGAAGTTGCAAACGAGGGAACTCGGGAGAAGTTCTCGCTACCCTGGGAGAGCCTGGTGTGGAAAGTGCCGAGGTGGGACTGACCCCACCTGCCAGCGGTGGGCCTGCGAGCACGGCGCAGGTGTGTTGGGCAGAGTGCTAAGGGTTGCATGCATTGGAACCCGAATGGCAGGTGCATCAAGCGCCTCCTGGCATTTTGCAGCGAGCTAAGCACCGTTCGGGCTCGAATCATTTGCAAGAGTTCATCGCTTGTCAGAGACCGTAGATATAGCCGCCATGTCGCACCAAAGACTGAGGCATGCACATGCACAAGGACATGCAGCCCACGCTGCTCAAGCGGCCCACGTGGCTCACGCAGCTCACGTGGCCCATGCAGCCCACGCGGCTCATGCCGCTCACGCGGCTCATGCCGCCCATGCAGCCCACGCAGCACATGCTGCCCAAGTGGCGTATGGACATCCGCATCAAGCACTGCCCGGGTGAAGGTCCCAGCTTTCTCTTTAGAGGCGAAAGCTCGGGTCGTTCAGATTCTGTCAAGCTGCCGAGGCAACATCACATGCACTACGCGGGAGCTCCAGTCGTGCATGGGATGCACCCGATGATGCCCGGTGCCCACATGAAAGCTCGGGTGACAGTTGCACCTCACTGTACGTGCTTGTGCATGTACTCGACCTAGCTGGTTTGCGCTTGCCTCTGCAGGCCAAATGGGCATTATCCGATACACTATGCACCCCATCCTCATCATCCTGGCTATTATGTGCCAGCAGCTCAGCGACTCTGCGTGTCGCTACTGCAATCCCTCCAATGCCCAACTGAATGATGCGAGGCCGGTGTATCCTGGCCACCCGCTTCACTCTTGGATCCGGGTTGTAAGCGAGCCAGCAGGACATTTTTTGATCTCCTTACTCTTGCTCGCGACGAGTTTCACGGGCCTTACCGTACTGTTTTGCATATGGCAAAGATCTAGCAGCAATGGGATGCAGCTGCTGAGGCCAGGCTACCCGCCTCACTACCCGGGATATCCGCCGCTTGCCCGGGTGCCCCCCTGCCTGTTTACTCTTTGACCCAGGCCTGAGGCTTGAAATGGGCTGTGGGAGTTACTGCATGTTGGTGGCAGGAAAGCCGGGACAAAGACAGCGACGAGGAGTGGGCGCTGGGACTGCGAGCTCCGACTTCCCTAGGCCGCGTTTCTAAGCTGCAGGACCGGAAGAAGAAGAAGGAGCGTGAGGCTCGCACCTCCGCTACCGAGTAGCGGCTAGCGCAGGGGCGGGGCCATTCTGCAGCAGGTTAGTCACTTTAGTCGCAAGATCGGGGCCTCAGAACGGCTCCCATGCCTGCCTCGGCCCAGACTCGGGGGCAGTTCCTCAGCTGCTTCGCTTCTGTCGTAATTGAAGCAGGGATGGGGGCAATTCAGAAGGTTTTAAAACATCTTGAAAGCAGGCAAGACACTCTAGAAGCCGGTTTCAGGCATGCTGAAAGCCTCAGAGCCATGGTGCCAAATGGAGCATTGTTTGTTGCTCCTCGCTTCCAATCCTCACTGAGCGTAGGGTTTTCCGTCTCTGCGGATTTCGTTGAAGCGAATCCTGCCCGGCTAGGAGCCACCACCGCCGACAAAGTTCGACGATGATCACTGGGAGGACGCTGCACGTTCACACGAGAATCGGGGCCCAGCCAATAGCCACATGATGCGAAAAATCTATATCAATGCGACTGGCAGACAATTACCTGCGCTGTGCAGAACTCAGACTCGAGAAGGAAAGCAAAAGCAGAGAGTTGCGAATGTCATTACAATCGTGGTTGAGGTCAGTGCCCCACAGAAACTTCCGTAGACTTCTCCAGATCCCCACAAGCTCATCAGCTGTTGCGCTGCCTCCGAGGCAAAGCTACCATCTGACGGTTGCCGGCATACTTTGGATGATCTTGCTCTTGCATCTCAGCCTGGCCCTGGTGCTCTAAAACCGCAAGAACTTAAGACAAGCCGAAGGCCAACAGCGGCATCTGCGCATCCAACAAAACCTGAGCCGTGAACCGGTTGGCCACCTCACCGCATCCCGTGCAGACCCTTCCCAGTTCCTGGAAGCTTCGAGTTAGGCTTTCCCTTTCATGCCGCAGGAGCCTCGGTCACGGACCAAGCTCAAACTTCTGGGCGAGGACTGTGGCGAAGAACAGCCGTGGCCTCCAGCAACTCCCACACACCGGCTTGGCAAGGGCTTGGAAAATTGGCGGGGCTTTCAGGCTGACAGTAGTTCGATCGCGACGGTTGCTGTCATGAGTAATCTACGGCTGTTTTACCTTCGTCAGGGAACTTGAAGGTGTTGAACCCAGAGAATCTGCAGCATCTTGAGGGCACCGTCTAAAAAGGGATGCCAACATTTCACCCTCTGATCTACGTCTACGAGTAGGCTTCAAGAGACGTTTGGATGCCGAGTCGCAAGCTCTGGAGCTACCCGATGACAGACGAGAACCGCCGCTGCTTCGCCGGGTGAACACAAGTCCTAGCCAGCACGTGTGAGATGTCTGTCGGAATCCCTCTTAACAGCGCTGACTGCTAGCACCCACTTCTAGTGATCCAGGTACATACCGTGCCTCCTAAAGGAGGATGTGTGCGACAGCTTCTTCAAGAAGATTCGGGACCCCCAGTCCAGCTTTTGCCTCCCTGTTGCTGAATTCCTTTCGTCGATTCGGCCAGGACTCGGTGGACTGGCAACAGCCCGAGGGCCCGCTGGGTCCTGCCCTTGTCAGACAGCGTCCGGGAGGCCTTCCGAAGACTGAACCGTCCTTGCAGGTCAAATCCCTCGCAAGACCTGCTGGATGGTGAAAGCCGGCTGTGACTGCAAGTGCCCCTTTCAGACCACTAGTGAATCTCACGACCGCATCTTCTTGACTCAGAAATATGACCCATTCCAGGTATAGGTACGGAGGAATCGAGGTGGCACCTCAGAAGTTCCCCAGCTGGATGCCACGAGCTTACCCCATAGCACACACCATGATGGCAAGGATGTATCCGCAGTCCTCACATGTTTTGCGACGAGGAACGAGCTTATGGAGCTGGTTCTCAAGCCCTGCGGTCTCCCACAGAAAGACTGGCCGAAAGCTCAGCCATCAGGGCACCGCGCAGCCTGCGAGACGAGACGGAGACTTCCTCGCACCCTTCCCAGGCCCAATTCCTGCAACCTCAACCTCTACGAGGACCCCTTCAAGCCAACCCAATGAAAGCCCTACCGTGTGGAACATGATCTTCTTCGAGCATGGCTGACCGTCTCAGACCCTCAGAAGCGACGCCCAGTGTCAGTCGTAGGCAAGTACACACACAGAGAGAGAGAGAGAGAGAAGCGCATCGTCACAGCATTGATACACCATATAGTACATCGGTAGTAGCTAGAGTCAGCATAGGGGACAAAGAATGTGCAACAGTTCGCGCCATCACATCGCCATTCAAGCCGCCATGACAGACAAGATGCCAAATGAAACTTGGCATGAAGGGAACCACGAGGATAGGGGGTAAGCAGCAGGATGCAGCGAGGGAGGCAGCGCAAGAACAGAAGCAGCGTCCACAGCAGCAGCGGAAAGGACAACGAAGAAAAGGGCGCATCAGGGCATCAGAACAGAACGAAAAGCCAGCTGCTGTCTCGCTCGTTTGGCCTGTACAGCTCGGCAGGATGGTGGCATGACTGTTGGTGAGGTGCTCAGCTGACGAGGGGAGGATATCTGAGTCACGTCATGCGTTTCAGATGTTTCAGGGCGAAAAACCCGCACTTGGGGTTCTGATGAGCAGTGAGCAGTCAGAAGTCTCATGCGCAATCTCCGATCTCCTGGCCTGGTACAAACGGCCCCACAACACTCTGACAAAGCGAGCTTCAGCTGAGCCAGATTCGCAATCTTGTGTTCTCAGCTGATCACTGGGCATCCGTGTCGTTCCTGAAAACCCTACCCTAAACCCCTAAACCCTAAACCCGATTTGCAGCCCCTGGCCAGCACATGTCAGCCTTGACCAGCGTCCTTCTAATCACTTAAAGCCATGCCTGCGGTTTTTCCCGCTCAGCTCGTGGCTTGAGTTCTTTTGTTTGGCTCTTACCGGCACTGCTTCACCATGCATCCGAGACCCAGTTAGGCTGGCACGCTGACGACGAGAAGCTGTTCCAAGGTCGGTTTCGCGACTGCAGGACAGCATGAACCCCAGAAACTTGAGGAGCTGAAGCCCAAGCTCCAACAAGTCCACGCCCGCAGGATCATCTCCTTGTCGTTGGGTGCGACTCGGAAGTTCGAGTTGCGGCTGAACTGGCCCGAGGCAGGGGTGGTTCATGGTGGTTCTCAGGGCGACAGCCACCTCGGGTCACGACTGCTCATACCGACAGCAGGTTGCCCTGGATCTTGAATGCTAGCCTTCGTCCCTTTGCAAAGCTCCAATGGCTCAAAGCATTATTTGCGTGCTGTCGGCATGGCTTCTGCACCATTCTGCACGGCAACCCATGCTCAAGGATGTCTGATGTGCTACGCGGCGCGACATGTTTTTTTAATGGATCCAGGGCTCGAGGGAGATGAGGGTGTAGATGATGGAACTGCCAACAAGCGCACCGAAGAGCCAGCGGACCATGCCTTGCCGCCCTGCACAGGAAGAGGAAGCGCAGATCACAAGGCTGACGCTCCGCGGCGGAGATCTTCTCACTATGGAGGCGCTTATCTGAAAATCAATGGCTGAATGCTTTCATGGGAGTCATCACAGATCATCACAGGCTGTAGGCGAGTGTCTGAGTTTCACGGTCGACGCTGGGATGAAGTGCTCGTTTGCCCGTGAGCTGCAGGGAATGACGCAGAAGCACTTCCAGCACCGCGTCCCACGCGAAGGGACGAAGGCACGACCGGCGCTAAGACCGGAAATTTGGTTTTGGCCTCACAAGTCGCGACCACATGCAGCGCCAGGAGCCTCGGATCAACCTGACCTGGCGCTGGGTAAAGAAGCACTTGCCGGGGTGCCCTTCAGGGGGCCGGCGTTGAGGGCACGCAGCGCGACGCATGATTGATTTTTCTCAATAGTTAATGCACCTGGCACAACATGAGCTAGCTGTAGCCAAAGCAGATAGCTTTTCCTTCATGTTCTGGCATCTTGATGTATTGCTCGCACTGAAGGTGCTAAGCTGCAGGAAATGCATGGAAGATGTGACAAGAAAGAGAAGGGTCATCTTCAGTGCGAGCACACAGTGGCCAATGCCACGTGCGCAAACGGCTCTTTGTTCGGAAAGATTTGAACCTTTCCATCCAGGGGCATGGCCCGGAGTGAAGAGTCGCAGGCACCAGGAATTGGAAGCAATCAGAATTGCGTCCAGAACCTGTGCCACCCGAAACTGGGGCAAGTTTTTTTTATCTCCAGCTTGATATGCTTTCCTCATATTTGAAAAGATAACGAACCCTTAGCTCCTGATCTCAGGTGAGCCAGACTCGCGAATCCCCTGACACACCGTACACTTGCCGATGGCTCTCTTGCAGCATGTTTCAGGCAGGTGGAATCCTTCAGGGGAATCGCTGGTTGATAATGTTCTTTCAGGCAAAAGTGCTGCACGCTGCATACTCTGAGCACCGAGCAGATTGCCCGAAGAATTATTGCTCCCAGCTGAAGCCTCAAAGCAGTTCGCCACGAGTGCAAAAGGCTGGCCCTTGCGAGCAGCAGATGCGTCTAAAACAGGCGTAAGCACACAGCTTGCAGCTATCAAGCAAGCTTTTTCGGTGTCATGCTGGGCCGTTTGATGATGCTGTGCGTCTGCCCGCTCGGCTCAAGAGAAGTTTTTTCCAATTTTGATCAAAGACAAAACTCGGAGGAGATGAGGCGCCGATGAGGACGTCCAGGATGCCACAGGGGCAACGGAGTCTTCCATGGAATTCCTCTCTGCTACAAAGCCCCTCGGAGCTTCAGCTCACGAGGAGCCTCGGCTGCAAGAGAGTATTGCACTCCTTCGTCCAAGAGAGATCGAGCGAGAGAGACGGGAGAGTGACGAAAGACATTCCTTGATCCCTTTGAGAATCCATCAAGACTTTCATACCTCCCCCAAACCCTGCCAAAGGCGGGCAGGCTGAAAGCCGGGCAGGCTTGACTCGCGCTAAAGCCTGGGAGAAGGGCGAAGAGAGAGGGAGAGAAAGAACCCTAGCTGGGGTATCGCGGACAGCTTCAAGCCCGGCAGAGGGAGATGGGGAGAGCCGGGTGCGGCGGGCGGGACGGCTGGAGCGGCCCCTGCGCGGCCGCAGCATGCAGAACGAGAAGGAAAGGACAGCCTGTAGCCTCTGGAGAGTCTCTGTGCGAACGCGCATGCGCCCACACGCCCGTTTCGAGGATCGTGCTGAGCTTGAAGATGGGACTGGAGAAAGGTTTCGAGAAGGTCTTGGCTCGGTGCTAGCAGCGCCTCGACAGGCCACCAGGGAGGCCGAGACGGGAGACGGAGTGATGGATGTTGTCTCTTCGTTTGTCGTCGCTTCTTTGGGTCCTTCCTCGACCCCTTTTCCACTCTCGAGGTGCGGAGAAGACGATCCCGCGATTTTGGTGAAAGTGGCTCAGCGGCCCAGCTTTCGCTTTGTCAGCTCTGCTTTGTTGAAGACGCAGGGGATCGGGCTCTCGGAGAGCTTGGAACCGACGAAAGTGAAAGTGCTCTGAGGTCAGTGATGCAAACCGTGAGATCCACTGCTCGCTAGGCGCCTGGAGCCGCCACCGCCGTTTTATGTTCGGGGGTTTCTTTTTCTGAGAGTCGTGTTTTCTGCTTTTGGCCAACGGCACAGGCGCTTCGCTGTTCGCTTCGGCTTCCTCGGCATCTGCATTGGTGTTTTCTGGCAGCGGGGACCTCGCTTCCCTCCTCTTCTCCTTTCCTTTCCCCGTTGCCTCTGAGGCTGTTTTTCCGGAGAGCGCAAAGGTCGCTGCGAAGCGCTGAGCCTTCGCAGCCGACTGCGAGTTACACCTGGAGCCGCAGCCTGAGGACGGGAGGAGAGTGACGTGCACAGGCACCTGTAAGACCCTCAGCTCGTAACCTGGAACTGGTGCTCATGCGTGGCCATCAAATCCTGTCTTCCTTCATAGTGAAACTTGGCTCCAGTTCGGTTCGGGTCCTGAGAAACTCGGTTCCGGAACGATTCAACTCGGAGAGAGAGACCGAAGAGCTTTGGAAAAATCCTTCCCAGCCAAGGCTACCAAGCGAGACGGCGGGCGGAAAAGCATGCTTGTTGAAGCGCTTTCGGCCGCTTCGTTCCTTGCTTCCACTTCGAGTAGCCCAGCTTTCGGTTGAGCAGCTACGCTATGCGTGCTGAGCGGCTGACGGCGGAACTGTGGGGGCCATTCTTTCTCTTGCAACTGCAGGCAAGCTCTTCACTTCATATCCTTGCACTGTAGCTTCCTTCAGCTGATCGCAGGCAACAGCCCACGCAGCCTAGCGAAACTTTGCAAAGCCATGCGCAGCCCACAAGTGACGGAAGCAGCAAACTGCTGTGGAAACTGCCGCATGCTGTGTGTGACAAAGCTGCCGAAGATGCCGAAGCCGGGTGGCCCAGAAAGCGAGACGGGCCTTGCGCACGAGTCCCGGGTCCACTCTGTTGCACATTGTGTGTGACAGGCTGGGTGCTTGGAGTAAGTTCACACGCCTAGTCCATTCCCTTCCACTGCTGTGCATCCAGAACACTCAGATTCCTACTGTACCGTGCATATCAGCTTGAGTTCTGTCGCCGCCGGAGCACTACAGAGATGCGTTGCCCCCAGAAGTGCTGCGGTTGCTGTGACCACAGTGGCAAAGAGCCACTCAGAGGCGGACCTCCCATACCTTCGGCACCTAACAGTCTGCCAGTGATGGAGCTTGCAGTATGCAACTCAGCCACATCAGGCCCTGGAGTCGAGTCCTAGAGCGATTTGGCAGCTCAGCCAGTGCAGCGAGCTTTAGGGCATCGCAGATAGTCCGCGTCGTGGTGGAAGCCCCGTTGCCTTTCTGCGAAGGCATTGCGTGCACAGGCGAAATTTGGTCGGATGCAGAGTTGTGGAGCTGGCAACGCAGTCTCCTTGAGCATAACCCCGTGCCGCAGGAGGTTCCCAAGTGCAGGATGCTTTGTTGCCAGGCGCGCTGCCGTGCGCATGGTGTGCATTTTGGGCTCCAAAGAGTCTTCCAACAGCCTATCCCAAGACCCCGAAGACCGCGAAGCTTTGTATCTATCCAACACCAAGTGACGGAACTTCATGGACTCCGGATCTAGGCTTCCGCGCCTAAAGCGGTAGCAGAGTCATGTTCAAGCTGTAGGCTCCGAGCTGTCACAGTAACTCTGCCTGTCCGTCCTATGAGTGGCTTAGCAAGCACAACCAAGCCTCTTTTGCAGATAAAGATGTCCAACTTCGCGGCAGAAACACTGCAGTCAGTGCCTGGGCTCACCGTTTTCAGCCTTGGCGGCCTTGGTTAGTGAAGGCGCGTGCCATAATACGGCTTTCGGGCTCGCTCCATGACGGCCTGCAGTGCCTCCAGGGAAGGTCACCTCTTAGATCACTTTTGAAGCCATGGAGGTGTGTATCACATCCTCATCCCGCGCGTCCGCAGCCCCTCGCCGAGAGCGTCTACCAGACCGGTGTGCCATGCCACAGAATTGCACACGTAGCCTGTATGTATACGTGGCTCTTTCGCCAGTGTTTTCGGTGCCAGCCGCGGAGGGTGTTCGTTTTGCTGTAAGCTCTTTGGCATCATGCCGTGGTGGCAATCCTTCAGACAGACATGGCCAGCAAGCTGGGCCAGAGTAGACTGACTGACGCAGGAGCTTGCACCGCTTTTTCAAGCCAAAGCAGGCAAGTTGAATGAAACCGAAGAATTTGCAGCTGAATGCCTGGATGCCTGTCAAAGTTTATTGAAACATGAAGGGATGTGGAAGAACAACCGGACCTTGCAGGGACAGCCTTGAAGATGTTTTTCTCTTGGCTCAGTGGCAGCCGAACGTCTCAGAATGTCTCAGACTTCCAAGCTGGCACAAGTTGCTAGTGACCAAATAGTATGTTGGACAAAGGAAGCGAACTGCGTCGAAGACAACTTTTCTGACGGCGAGTGTGCCTTTGTCTCTGTCTTTCAAGCCCCGTCCTCCGAGCTATCGCGCAGCAGAGCAGCTGCATGTTGTGCATGTCAGACTCAGTCAGTTTGAGCACATCAACCTTGGCACCCTCTCGCAGGGTCTGCGCATCCGGCGTAAGTTGATCCAAGCGCCGCTGGCTCCGCGTGCGCCTCTCGTATGGGCGCACGCACTACGGTTGCTGCAAGCTTGCATGGAGCTGGGCGCAAGTTCCCCGACTTCTCCAGAAACTTCTGCCCGATCCCAGTTGCAGCCTTTGTCTTTGGACCCAGCGCCACACGGCACAGCACGGATCATGCCGTGCTGTCTTGGCTCAGCTGTGCAAGGGGCATGGTGTCCGACAGATAGTGTTGCCAAGCACGGTATTTGCATCCCTCGAGACATTTGCAGCAGGCCCAAGCTAGGTAAATGTGCACGACGCACCGCACAGGCTGCACAGCACATCCGGCCTTTGCCCTTCAGGCCAATCGCAGACCTTCCAGTCTGTGCCCAGCTTCCGCAGCCAGCACAGGCACAGCCGCTTGGGAAGAGGCTTCCTTTCGGATAGCACCCTGCTTGGCCTCCCACAAATCGGCTGTGTTTTGAGAAACTCGTCGGCGATGGCTGTGATGGCTGGGATGGGCAGGGCAGCAAGGGCTTTGCGTCTGAGTCTGAGACATCTGCTCGATGGAAGGATCTCCGAGCAATGCAATTACAGAGCTTTCCTGCTCTAGCCGTTTCGCAGGTTTCAGACAGCAGCCGCTTGTCGGAAGGGTGTCCGACACGCAGGGTCACGCCAGAGGTGCAGGGCAGCGTGAGAGCCGCAAGAGATCCTGAACAGCCTGAGTTGACACTCTGTGGCCTGGACGTGCTCGATATGTGACGTCAGGCGAGCAAATCTAGCTAGCAGGCTGCTTCCTGCATTGAAGACTTTGCAAAGGACCCGCAGA